GAATTTCCCCTCTTTTTGTATAAAACCATTCTCCTTTGTCCTGCCACTATCTGCCCTCATGAAAGGTCAGCCTCCCAAAACCACCAGTTCCCTTCTGTGCAGCACCAGCCCAAGGAGTTAGGTGACCAAGGCAGTATTTCTGGCTTGCTGAGTAACCATTAGTAATCCTGTGACCTCCTGGTGACTTAGTTTTCCCACAGGTAAAATGGGAATAATGACTCTGTCTTCCTTTGTAGAGCACTTTGAGAGATATGAATAAAATGAGACACAGTAGATAACACTTAGATATTATTAATTATACATTCGGTTCATTTGTGTGATGTGGAATTGCTTTCTTCATACAAGCAGATGTTGTCTTTGCATCAGGGTTTCCTAAATTGTCTGCCACCGGCTCCTGTAGAAGATTTTGTGAAAAAACACGGTACCTTACAAGGAGGGACCTCTCTGGCCCCATCTGCATGTCCAGAGACTGACTACAGTGATAGGAAACTGTACACCAATGAAAGCAGAGGGAAGAAGCAGAAAGTGACATTCTTGAACATGGGCAGCAAACAGAAAAAAGCTCCAAATCATTCTGCACTTCCATACTATGAATGATTTCTTTCCACATTTCACACCGAGGATTTATAATGCATAGAACTGATGTTGAACCATGAAGCTCCTCAAATACAAACCACGCTGACAGCTTCTGAGAGTTCACACACTGTATGGGGGGAAATGTAAACCCTCATAAAAGTGGTGCCAGGGGTGCTGAGCTCCAGGGAAGCTAAGGAAAAGTGGAAGGGCTCAGATCTCTCGAAAGCCAACCCAGTACATGATACTTTATTCATTTCTGATTTCCCCATGTTAACCTTGGGGCAGTTGAGATGATGAAGATACAAGTGTGTTTTGGAGGGGAAACCAAGGAAAATCACACTATCTCCTGGCTGTGGCTGTGGCTATTTTCTAAGGAGGTCTTGAGCACATGCCACAGTAATGCTCAACTGTATCCTGCATCAGGTACCCACCCTGTGAAAGTGGGAGGCATCTGCCTTTAAGGTTGAGGCTACAGAGAGGGGTCTGAGCATGCTCTGTATAAAGCCCAGGTCCTGCTTTGTACAGGAGCTCCTGGCTTGTTCCACTGGTGAGTTGAGCCTTGCTTTTTTGATTTAGCTCCTTTCAGTGGAAGGTTGTGTGTGGTGGAAGATGGCTTTTTAGGGTGGGAAGCATTTTTGTGCTGCAATGGTTGACTTTAATGGTTTGCTGTTATTGCTTTCTGGTGCAGAAGGTAACTTTTTTGTTTCGTTTTGTGGTGCTGCTTTTTTTTTTTTTTTTTTTTCTGGTCTTTTTCACACAAAGGTGGGAAGGGGAAAAACGTGGTGAAGAGTAGAAAGCACGAGGTTGGAATGAGCTGAAATGCCTTGTTTTCCTTGGGCTTTGCCACTGGTTCTTGAGGTGCTGCTCTGAGCCATTGGGGCTATCCCCAGCAGGGTTGGAGCCTTAGCCCTAGGGAAGGACAGCTGCAGAGCAGGTAGGCTAACGCTTGTGAAAAGCAAATGCTTTGCCAACTGGTTTTATTTGCTGGTTTTCTTTTGGTTTTCTTTTCTGGGGAGGTGGACAGGGTGTTTGGTTTTTTTTAAATTAATTTCCTTATTGTGAAGCTTAACATTCCTAGGGAGACTGATGTTGGTTACTGTGTAGGCACAGCTGAAAATCGCTGCTTTTGTTGGCAGTTTGCAGAGCTCTTGCTCGTCTGCATGATGGCAAAATGCATCAGCTGGGATGCAGCCCCACTCTGCTGGCTTATCAAAGCTGTGTAGTCAAGGCGATCAGCAGAGAGCAAAACAATTTTGAAGCAGGAGGCTTCAGAGATCTTGAAAAGTAATCTTGGAAAGTGTTTTCACCTGTTGTATGCCTTGTGGCTTCACCCACTCTTGTAAAATAAGCAGAATGGGACTGGGGTAGATCTTGATGGGAGCAGGTTTGCATTGCTGGCTAAAACTCACCCTGGGGCTCAGTGGTTGAAGAACAGTGCCAGTAAACCTTGCACTCTGGGTAAGAATCTGCATCTCGCAGAAGATTTAAACGGCTGTTTTTGTTAATTAAAGATCCCTTTATGGCTTTTAAAGGAGGGGACTCAGGGGTGCAATGTCTATTCAGCTCACAGCTTGATGGGGCCATAAATCCTTCTGCAGTTCTACCTTGGTGCACTTACAGCTTGTGGCAAGCTGCCTGCAGGCTCCTTCAGCAGTTAGTGAAGTGAATTAAGAGTCTAGTTTGTAGGCTTAAAGCAGAAGGTGGGCTAGACAGGGCTTACTACCATGCTTTGTGTCGTTCTAGTCAGTGGTTTGGTACAAGAGGCTGTGATCAACAGCACTATCTCCTGTGATGCATTTTGGGATGAGTGGCTGTGGGTGAAAGGGGTTTTGTTTGAGCATCCCTTAATAAAAGGAGCAATTTGAACATTGCAAGCTCCTGCTCTCTTGTGATTAACTTCAGGTACTCAGGGATTGTTTTACTGGAGAGGAGGGTTTGCTGATGTGGGAGAGAACAGTTAGCTGGAGAAGTGAAATTCATGAGCAGGTGGATCCAGCCCAGGCTTCAGTTGTGTTATTTTCTAGAAGAAGAGCAAATTTGCTTCATTTGGTGGACACATTAGTAAACAGAGGCTACTCTGCTCTGTTAAAGGCTGTTTGTTAAGGAAGGTGGCACTGGGTTTATATTTTAATACGTGATGATAAGGGAAGGAAACAGCTTGGTTTGCATATGGGGAGTGTGGAAGGGGTCTCACTTTTACTTCCATGGAAGTAAGAGTTAACCAGGGTACTTCTCATTTGGTATAGGGAAATATGCCTTTTTGGCTGTCAGGTAAAATCTGCTGTAGCTCTTGTGAGCTGGGAATGCCCAGCTGTGGGCAGGAGCATTGTGGCATGCAGCAACATCATTGCTCTTGAGGCTTTTCGAAGGAGAGGCAGTCTCTTTCATGACAACTTCTTGGTGAATTCGATTCCTGTGGAAGTAGCAGTGGTGTGATATAGCTGTCTGTTGTCACTACCTAGGGACTTAGTTCCTAATAAGTGTTAAGTCTAAATGCAATCAGTGGCCTTCACCTTAGGGGCTCACTGTATTGATGTTCTGCTCCAAAGCTTGTTATGTCACTGATGCTCAGCTTATATAGCAGCTTCAGGGCAGGTCTGCTGGTCTGGGTTTCAATATGGCACTCCTGAAAGTGCCTTACAAGACTGAAAGCCTAAAAGGAGTAATTTCTAGTACTTTGTGGGATAACTGCTGTTCTCGGAGGACTTGTGATTGTTTATGTTCAGCGTGGGCATGCTGTCATGTTGGTGAGAGCGCTATTAGCTATAGTGCTTGGGTATTTTAAAGGGGTTTTTTAATCTTAATCACAGGAAAAAATGGATGAGTAATTGAAGTGATGCTGAAGCTTTCTACACTGAGAGCAGCGAGGCACTGGCACAGGTTGCCCAGAGAGGTGGTGGTGCCCCATCCCTGGAGACAGCCAGGGTCAGGCTGGAACAGGGCTCTGAGCACCTGATGGAGCTGTGGGTGTTTCTGTTCACCTCAGGGAGTTGAACCAGGTGGTCTTGAAGGGGCCATTCCAAGTCATACAATTTCATGATGTATTTGACACGTGCCTAGCTGTGGCTCTAGAGGCTGAAGCCGCTTGATTTCTCTTTGCTTGGGGGAACTATCTGTCCTTTTTGAAGAGTGTGCAGTTTGTGAGCAGCAGAAGTGAGGAAATCCGTGCTTTTGCAGCTCCGAATCATTCTGAAAGCATGAGAGGCCTTATAAATTCAATATAAAGAGCTGGATTCCCCCTCTAGCAGCAGTCAACAATAGATGCTTCAGGAATAAGTAGAGGAAAAGAACAGCTGTAGTGTGATCTTCCCTCTCAGACACTTTTTATTAATTTTTGCTGCTTAGTAAATCTGACTTTTCCATACATCTTGTTCTCACTGTTGTCTTAAACATCACCAAATGCACCAAAACAAATGTTAATCCGATTCTCTGTGGAATCCAGTTTTAGTCCTGTCTGCTGTCACAGCTGCTCCTTGGGCAAGGGTTGCTGCTGTTTGCTTGTGTTGTGCCCGAAGGACTCTTCCATGAAAATGTGGGGTGCCTTCATCCTCACGGGAGGAAAAGCAGTCACCTGACTGATGGTTGAATTAAAAGCTGAACTGAGATCTCAAGTGCAAATATATTTGAGAAATTCCCCTGTGCATCCCTGCAGCCGTTGAGTATTTTGACCCGGGCATAAGAACTGCTGCGTTTGAATTTAGCAATGGGGCAGTGGGATGAGAATGTGCAGCTGTGGGAGGCATGAGTGCTCCAGCTTCGTCACCACTCCTATAGGGCCCACCTATTTCTGTGAGGCTTGTGGGAGCTTAAGGGGATAAAAATGGCTGAGGTAATTAGCGGATCCGGCATTGAGCAGCTGGGGTGGCTCAGAAATTATTGCGGCTGTGAAAGGTGGTTGAGAAGCAGGCATATCCTGATGTGATATAACTGAACTCCTTGATTAAAAGGAAAAATAGTTATCTTGTTGTTTTTTAATATATTTTAGTTCAAGGCTTGAGCTGCAGACGTAGATGGAGTCACCTAATCACTTTAGGTTGTGCAGTGCAGAGTGGGGAGTTGTGCACCGTTTAGGTACTCTGTACCTACTGCACAACATTCCCTACTCTACGTGAGAAGTTCCAGGAGCAAAATGGAGAGATTTTTTAATTTCTCTGAGATTTCTTATGATGCATCATTCCAGTAGACACTGAGATGTATTTAACTTATTTACAAGAGTGGTTGAATTCTCTGCTGTCTAAATACAGCATCTGCAGCAGTGTGGAATGTGTGTTGTACAGCTGTGAATGTTACAGGCATTCAGTGTGTCTCCTTTTTCACACAATAGCTTCTATTTATGGGTTTTCATCAAGTTGGACTCTTGCATTCAACATATCTTTGTGTGTTTTCTTTTTTCTTTCTTTTTTTTCCTGCTTTTCTTTCATAAGGTTTGTAGAAACTCCAAGCCATTTCTCCTGGAAGGAGAGTTACTACCGCTCAGCCATGTCCCAGAGCTCCCAGCCCAGGGAGTTCCTCAGCCCAGAGATGATCCAGCATATCTGGGACTTCCTGGAACAGTAAGTTGCCCTTCAGTGGGATCTATGGAAGAAGGTGTTTAGGAGCAGGACAGCCCTGCAGTTTTGTTGTCTGAGGTGGTTTTGGGATTTCAGTCTTCTGTATCTCCAGGTCCAGCCCTGGTCAGGGACTGTTGCTAGCATGGAGGGTGGTGGAGTGGGTGCTCACTGGGAATTCCTTAATTGATGCTGAGTCTGGTTTAATGGTGGCACCCAAGTCCTGGGGAACACCCTGACACACAGAGAGTTGAGGGGAATGGGATTTGGCCCATTTTAACTACACTGCTTTGTTCCTCATAGGCCAATATGCTCGGTTCAGCCAATTGATTTGAACTTCATTGATGACCCATCTGAAAATGGCCCTACAAACAAGATAGAGATCAGCATGGATTGTGTCCGTCTGCAGGATACGGAGCTGAGTGACCCAATGTGGGTGAGTAGCGAGGATTTCTTTAACCCCTAGAGGAAGGTGATTCTTTGCAGAAGCCATTCCTGCTGCATTGCTCTGAGATTCTTTTCCCCTTCCTGATGGTTCTGTGGCTGCTTTCTGTTGTCTTCTGTTTGGGAGTGTGGCTCTACCAGGTGACTGTGGTGGTGTCAAGCTGTGGTGCCAGTGCTTGTGGCTAGCTGAGATGCTGAGAGAGCCCTTTTTAGCCTTTGGGGCTGCCAGAGGGAACAGGTTGACTCTTCACCAACTCCTCTCCTGCTAAAGCAAGGGCAGCGAAGGGATGAGGCAGGCAAACGTGGAAGAGCAATCTCTTGTGCTTGTCCAGGTGCTTAGCTGTCCCTGCTCTCTCCTTGCTTAGAACTTTGTTTTGTGGCACAAAGGTTAAAATAGTTCTGAGCGCTAAACTGGCTTGAAGACCAGATGAATGAAAACTTGCTTTCAGATCATGGTTGTTTTGTTCTTTTCTCCCCATGTTTTTCCAGATTCTTAGCTGTGGGTGTCTTGCCAATATCCTTTCTGGCTGGAATGTGTATCAAACCCTGGTGTGTGCCTTTGGCACAGAGTGGCCAGTTCCTTCTTACCAATAGCTCTGGTGAAGAAGCCAGGTTCTGCTCTTGCAGGCTGGAGCAGGTGGTGTGTCAGGAGTTTGAGCTATTTGTTTACACTTTCCTGGGCCTTAGGCTCAGGGCAAAAATCCTATGTGCTTTGGAGTCAGTTGCTTTCTAAATGTTCTTGTTCCTCTGTACTTTTGTCCTGAGAAACTACAGTTTAATTTCCTAGCTAATCAACAAATGTCTTTTGTGTTCAGCCATGGCGTGTTTGCAGCACTGGTGTCGGTAAGACCTAAACCCAAAGGTTTGCATCTGCAAAGGAAGAACTCCCAGGTTACGCTGACTGCACTCCTGGGTACCAGAATGTTTGACCTGTTTCTGCCTGCCTGATGTGACTGCTGAAACAGGACAGGGTAGTGTGTGCCACTTTCCTTGTGGAACTGCAAAGGGTGGAAAGGCCATTTTGAGGTTGGGTGCAGCTACTCCAGCCACTCCACAGAGAGACAGCTGATTCCTGTCTGGTTATCTCTTGATTTGGGGTGGGCTCAGAGGGGCAGCACTGAGTGTGCAAGCCTGCAATGCGAGTCTGAAAGGATACTTCTCAAATTTCCTTGTTGCCCTACTAAAGCTCCAGTAAAATGGCATCTCTCTCTTCAGCTTTTTCAAGAGACTGTCTGTGTTTAAGAGGGAATATCTGCTTTTCAAATTGGGCTGGTAGTTTTCTATTTGAACTAGTTATGCCCCTGTGTATAACAATCCCTGGTACTTTAAAGTAGCTTTGCACCTTCCATGTCTACACCTGGACTTGCTGTGTTGAGTACTAGCAAAGCCTTTATATCTCTGGCTTCTCTGAGCTGTCAGCAGTGCACAGCAGCAGCTGCCAGGCTATCTTGGAGCTGTTGTTCAAAGTCTCCCTCTCCTGTCTGTGGTGCAGCGAAACATCAGTGGAAAACCCCTTCTTGTCCTCTCTGACCACTGCTGGAGTCAGTTCTGGGGCTGGGAAAGCAGGGCAGGCAGCTTTAGCTGTGAAATTATTTCTTGCTTATGATGCCAGCCTTCCAGGAGGCATCTCTGAGGAGGCCAAGATGCATGGTAACATCTTTAAGTGTTTTTCACCCCGGTGATCAGCTAAAGGGGGAGTGGGGAAATTCCATCCCATCCCTGCCTTTACTGTTAAGCAACAGGTCAGGCACTGCTCGAGTCTGGGTGTCCCCATGTTCATTAATAAAAGTTCCAGTTTGCCTTCACTGGAAGACAGAACCTTTGCTTAGTTGAGTGCTGCACAAAAGCCTTCACAAAGCGAAATATGCATTGCAAACCTGTGCAAACAGCCTGTCTTTTAAAAGGAGGAAAGCTCTTTTTACTCCCCTTAGCACCACCACCACCTCCCTATAAATTTGCAAACATCCCTGACAGGTGACAACTCCCCCTTGCAGAGAAGTCTGTGTTTGCTTTGCTGTTTCTGGGGCTTGCAGCTTGCACTGGCAGAGAATGTGTAGCCTCAGGCAAGGTGTTTGCTGTTTGTCGGCTTTAATCTGAAATACCTTACAACCCTCTTCCCCTCCAGCTTCTCTTTTCCTTTGGATAGCTTCGGGGCAAGAGCTCCCCTTGCACCTGTCTCTCTGTAACCTCAGCCATGTCACTCCTAGACACGAGGTGCTGCACGCAGCTGATTGCAGCAAAGAGTTGAAGAGGGCAGATAAACACAAAGGAATGCAGCAGAAACAGAGGGGCCCTGAAAGATGAACAGTGAGATCAAGGCAGAGTGCTTTTCATTATTAGATTTGTCTCTGGAAAAGAGCGAGGCCAGCTTGTCTCTGCGATGTACCACTGTGTGATATCTTAAAAGGCTCATGGTGAATGGTACTGGTTTATTCAAAGCAATCGTCCTTCTGTGGACTTTAAAGAGATCCCAACTGAGGTTTGAAATAAGCATTGTGCTTTCATGCAACTTACAGCTGAAAAATGAAACTTCCAGCCTTAAGAGATGTTTCATCCTTGATCCTAAGAGTTTTGCTGGCAAGAGCTGTGACTTTATTTTGATTTTGGTACAGTTGCCTGCAAGCAACAGAACTGGTAGGGGAGAATGAGCATCGGTGTTCAGAGCAGTGCCCTAAGAAAACTGTCCCACTGGTGGGCTTCTCTGCTGGGTCCTTCTCTGCTGAACAGCCACCAGTTGCATCCATTTCTTTTTAAGAGCAACTCTCTCTTGGGAGAGAGCTGAAGGAGAAGATGGTTACAAAGGAACCCCTTATGTCCAAGCTACAACCATGTCTGTTGCTCGTCTGTGACCTTGCAGTTCTCATGCTCTTTCTTCTTAAGGAAGAAATATTCTTCCTGCATTCTGTGGAAGAAAGGAGTGGGAGAAACTGGCAATTGGCATTACCTTAGGGTGAGATGAGCTGGAGGGGACAGGAAGAGAATTTGTGGGTCTGGTGTGAAATTAAACAGTCAGCAGCCTTCCCCTTGTCTCGTGCCTTGTGATCAGCTCTTTCACAATGTCCTGTGCAGCTGGTTTCAGGATGCCTGTCTGTGAGGCTGCTGGCTGTGCCTCTTTCTCTCCCATAGCTTTAACCACAAGCAGGCTGGGAAGCCCCAGCAGCAATCTACCTCTCCATGTAGCAGAGTAGAAAGGCTGGTGGTCCCTATAGGCAGAGATAGCATTTAGAATCTGCCATGGCCCTGGTGTGGCGTGGAGCTGCAGGCACCCAGAAAGGTAAGTGGTATGTGCATCCTATCAGCCACTGTTGGGTTTCACGCAAGAAGATGCTGCTCCCTGATCTCCTTCATGGCCTAGGATAGAGCTTGTGACTGTGGGGCCTGTGGTGGAGTGATGGCCAGCTCCCGGAGTTGCAGAGGGATGGTGCCTCCAAGGAGTCTCCTGTGGTGCTGGAAGCCAGGTGATGTATGAAAAACAGATTTCTTCTGACTGATGGAGCTCCCTGGAGCTGTGGAGGGAGGGGTCTGAGGGCTCCTCAAGGAATGAGTGTGTGGCAGGGCAATAACCCCTCCACTGCCCTGGAGCCCTTATGACTTTCCTTCCCCCCTTAGAAGTCCTTTTAAGTCAGCAGTGTTAAGGGATGCTAGCTAGACCCAAACAAAGCTTCTCTGGGTTAACAACTTTAGCAGGAGGCTTCCTGAAAAAGTGTGTTCTGTGGGGCTTGCAGAGCCTGGAGATATCCTGTTGTCCTGCCCCTGTCCCAGCAGCATGTGGGGGGCTCTAGGGACCCTGAGGGTCCTCACTGATGGGAGCAGGCGTGCTGTCCTGAGTGATGGAGCAGCTTGGCCCCCCTCCCCCAGGTACATACCTTCCTTTCGTGCCCCTGAGCAAGCCGTCCTCCTCGGCCCCTTGCCTAACCAGTTCAGTGGAATGCTTTTTTTGCAGACAGTTGCTTTGGTCATAGTTTTCTTAACCTGTATCTATCTGTCCCTCCCTGCAAAAGGGGGAGAAAATTCCTTGCTTTTATTTTTATGTCCTTCCTCACCTGCTGTCATGGGTGTCTGCTTTGCCTTGGTTAGGCACCGCTGTGCTCCCACTGCAGGACTGATGGTGTGTGCACTTCAGTCAGGGAGGTGTTTTGGGTTTGAGTCTGCAGCTCAGGCACTGGGTGTCCTGGACCTGGCAAGTTGAGAAGTTTTGGAAGTGCAAAGTGTGCTTTAAGTTCTGTAACCTTGCTGCTCAGGCTTAGATGGAGGAAAAAATGGGCTGTGGGAGAGGCAGGATGCAGCCTGTATAGGGCACAGATGTGTCAGTGCTCTCAGCCTCAGTCCTCACACTGCAGATCTGTTGGTATTTGACGGGGAGCAGGAGACCTTTTTCTAGTTATCTTCAACCTGCTGTAGGTTTTTTGGAGGTGCCACCCCAATCAGCTTGTGCAGGGCAGCTGGAGAGCAATGGGGCTGAGGCCCTTGGGTAGCTGGTGGCTCTCTATGGCATACTCTTAACTTTTACCATTGTATGGAACAGATCCGTAATTCATATTTGGTGGCCATACACTAAATTCCTGGCTACCTAAGAGCCTATCAACTGATTAGGATAGATCAGGATCTTGTTATGAACAAGAATGCAATGCACAGACAAACAAAATTGACCCTTTGTCCAGAAGAATTTATAGTGTCTGTTGCATCCTATCTAGTGCTTTAATATTAATGGGCAGGCTCTGATCTCTGTTAGTTTAATTGCTTACTTAAAAGTGTTTGCTGTGTCAGGAGAAGTGAGCTCTGCTTGCTGCAAGGTAACGGTTGAAGAAGAGAATGGAAGGTGATGACAGGATGGTGAGACTGAAATGAGGAGGATGTCTCTGTGCTTCAACAGCAGGCAGGGAGCAGGCACAGTATGGCTGTGTGGTGCAGGAAGTTTGTCTGTGCAGCACTCTGTGCAGAGGCTGGCAGCATGTCATGTATACTTCCCAGGGTTCTGGCAGGTGCTGCAGC